GATCTTCTGGGCATGGATTGGGAGTCATTGTAATAATTTCTAACAGTTGTGGTGGCCAGTCCCAATGCTTTTAGCTAGAAACATCTGCTGGGAAGAACGTGTCGCTGGCGAAAAAGCCTACGAGGGGAACTGCGCAAAAAACGCATCTTCGTACCGGCAGCCGGTACGCTTTCTACTAGGTTTTTTTTTTTGATACAAAAGTATTTACAAATTGAGAGCAAAACTATTTTCTCTTTTTATGATACTTTACTCTGATCTACTGGAAAAGTCATTTTTTAAATTTTTTTGTTTTTTGAAATTAAAAAAAAATTTTCACAATTAAAGCTTTCTGGAAATTCAAAGCTTGAGCTGTTAAGGGCGCCTTATCTCTGATCTATTTCTGAGTAAATTTAATCCGTTAGCTAATTCGGCAAAATTTTTCAACATTTTTTGCAAATTCTATAGAATCCTTCAATTTATTTTTATATGTTGATGCGGGGAAAATATTTTAGTAAGTAGGGCGAAGGAAAGAAGTGGTGAAGGGCCGAAGCTCAAATTCAGAGACCACGTATGGCTGCGCTAGGCATGTAAGAGTAATCCGGCAGCTTCACTGACACGGGATACGCTGGGCGGTCTTGGTAATCCTGGTAAACAAAAAGTCTTTGTTTTGCCGTAGTTTCTTCCATTTCTAAAAGAAAAACCTGATGGGTGAAGAAATCGCCAGTGTACGGATCAGTCAGCTAGCTAAATATCCGTTCTGTAAAATAAAGCAGAAGGTATCTTTTTTCCCTATCATTACTGCTGTTACATTTTCCAGGAATTCTCTAGAAATGTGGTGAAAAAATTGCTATTGGGCATTTTTTTTAAATTTCAGGCCTACAATAGCGTCACCGTTTATGCCAATAGCTGCTCAAGTTCCAGTTGAATTTGATAGACGAATTACTGTTCCGCACGTCACCAGCGCACCTTGTGAATGTCGCGGTGGATATGGTAGCATTCGAGTTAAGATCAGGCAGCAAAAACTTCGAAAAAAGCCACTTAACAGAAGTGATGCCGATGAATCGAGGTAAAATTCTGATTTAGTATTACCACTATCCAATCTGAAGGGATTTTGAATGAAGACAAGTACTGTATATTCTAAGGGAGCTGTCAATCAAAATATTTTTCGGTCTATATAGTTTGTATTTAAAGTTAAAAGCCGTTTGTGAAGCCAAGTAGGAGATCGCGCAATCCGATGGATGATACCGTGTGGAGTACCATAAATGAAAATGAAATTTAATAAATACTTCGTTTGTTGACAATAAAGGCTTCGTATGTCAGTGGTACCCGCAGAAGAAACCCAGGCTTCATTGTACCAGGAATTGCCGATGAGATCATGCGTTTTTGCGCCATATTTGCAGATCGGTAACAGCAGTATGTTTCTTGCGCTGTAGCTTAAAACTTGGATTCATACTGGCTGTATTTTGGCTTATTTCCGCTCGCAGGGGGAAGGGCGTTGGCTGGGATGAAGAAGCTGCATTATGCAGCGGCATGCACCTCCAGCGTGCATAACTATCAGTTTTTTGCATGAAGTCCGATCGTTCGTCAAGTGAATGCGTGTTCATGGAAAAAATGCAAATTTGAAGAAAATAGGATGAGGATTATGAAATCTGCAAAATGCAATCGCTTTTGAGTTTGCGACAAAATTGAGTATTTTTCATGTTTGCGAATAGGGAGATTCACCTCCAAACTGAATTAATACCACGCCTGAATATAGAATAATTCTTACAAAGTTTCAGCTCCGCAGTTTATCTGGTAAGCCAAATAGCCATTTCGCTACAAATATCTTTAAGGTGCTCTAAGTCGTGGCGCAAGCGCAAATCGAAGCTTTGGATATATGATTTTTCATATGAACAGCAAATATTCTGCCAAAACTTCAGCTACTTTTTCCGGCAGTTCTCGAGTTAGCACAGTGACAGTTGCTAACTTTGGCGTGGTCGCACGAGCGGTATAAACGTGCGCGATAGCTGAATTTCAAATCTTTAGCCTATACATGTCACTGAGAATATCACTGCAGAGTTTCAACTTTTTACCTTGTCTGCTTTACGAAATCGTTTCTCGCCAAAGAACTTTGCATATTTTTTCGGGGGTCTGTATGCGAGACCTAGGTGTGTGTGAGTGAAGACTTTAAAACAGAAGAATGACACACGCGGTAGGAACATATATCTAAAATTTCAGTCCCAGCTTCCCAGTTGCTGAGATGAAATTGGATGATAAAGTTCACTCGCTTCTAAAAACACACACACACACAGAGTCTTTCGACAATATGCATTTCTGCTGGCTGTAGCAGCTCTAAGCAGAACAGCAAAAATGCATAAAAACGGCCGTTAGACAGAAATTATTCATTTTCCTTTATGCGAAATGTACGAAGATTTACGCTGATGAGTATACAAGTTAATGTGCAGCAATAACTATTCACACAGTTAAAAACACATACACACAGAGTCTAGTGCAAGAACGTATGATCGTAATGATCGCACCGGCAGGCCTGGCGCGTTCCAACCCTGGAGTTTTTTTAAATCTGCTATTGCAAAGAAGCATTTTCCCAGGATTTGCTTTTATAAAAATGGCTGGCATTACAAGTCTTTTGCAAATTTCATCAAGAATTTTTTTTCTTAACATTTTAATTTAGCTCGGACGATGACGAGGATGGCAGTAGTGGTAGCAGTTCATCCGGTTCAGCAACGTTTGCCAAACTATCGGCACTTAGTGCTAGGGAATGGATGACGGTTTTTATGCTTGCTACTGCAAATCTCGGAAGTACCACTGCCTTCAGTTGTATAGCACCGTTTTATCCGAACGAGGTTTTTCTTGTTTCTTTTTTTTCCTACAGTTTTGCGTATAAACAGTCTCATTTCTTCACGCGGCATGCTTGTTTGCTTCTGTGGATAATTCAGCTTTGAGCCTAGCAAACTATGAAAGTTGGTTTTTCATGCGTATTGCGTTGTTGTTTCCAGTTTTCTTACAGGAAGGAAATAGAATGAGTTCTTGAATTTTCTGCAGAAGGATTTACTTAGAAAATGTGAATACCTTTGACCAGACAGGCTCTAGCCATTCTGGTCGATAGTGTCCATATTTGAGCTTTACAATTCTCTGGACTGGTTAGTAACACCATTTATGCATGTATATTATAAAACTTCTACGTAGTATTTCTACTTTCGGATTTCTTCTGTTACCTGGAAATAAATGTAAGGAACAAAAATCGACTTTTAATCTATCTTAATTTTCAATTTCAGGCCAAACGAAAAGGACTAAATAATTTCGAGACGGGTATCGTATTTGGTATTTTTGAGTTGGTGATGTTCATTGTTGCGCCAATACTTGGAAAACGTGTAAATAAATTTTGTTCGTATGTAATGATACCCGATTTATGATCCATATGAAAAGAATTAGGCGTAAAATTCCAGCACAAGAAAAAAAAATTAAAAGAAAAACGAGGCCAAATCTTTCGTTTCACTCGATATGAAAAAACAGTTGGCTGCGCTATGGAGTTCATCAGCTGCACTAATTTGATGTCGCATAATTTTTGAAAAAAAAAATGAAAAATAAAAAGTGTGTTTCTGCAGCGAAGCTTCA